GGCCTACAAGAACGCTATTATGGAGGTGTGGCAGCGCGGAAGACAACACCGAAACCATTCGTGTGCTACATTCATACGAAATGAGACAAGACAAAGGAGATGAACTTTCTAGGTACAAATGTCTTGGTTTTTACTACGTATTTACTAGTAGTGAAAATTGTTGGTCATAAAACGCTACTTGCGTGGTACGCATTGTAGAGCCCGTCGACAACCATCAAAGCAATGGCATGCAATCAAAGATAAATATATTCGCAGATACACACGTGATTAATACTTATACAGTACTAATACTCCTTCCAATATCTCTCGCATATTGGGGTACTTTGAACAATAATATTAATAACAACAGTGGTATAAGATATCTGTCTGTAGCAAGTAAATATATTTCCTATATACGTTATATCAAGAGCGTATAAAGAAGGAGAGCGTACAACGGTAAAATGCTGAAACCATGTTACAGTATTAGTCGAATTAATAAACTTTTCCCGTTTTATTTTGACGATCTTTGCAGTATTATTGATCAGCTGTCCTACCTTGTTTATATAAAACAAACCGCATGTCCCTACGATGCCCCTACGCTGAGATAATGAGCGGTGAAAATCTGGTATTTTCGCCGAAAACCGACTCGAGATCAGTCAATACTGCGTCCCTCACTCGAAGTGTTTCCAGTGTGTTGATTCCGGTCGCCGCTGTGTAGCGCCATAGTGGCGCTGACTCACGTAATACTACCAGAGTTTACTATACATCCAGCGTCAGGTGGGCGTGAGGTGGGCACAGGTGGGGGTCATCACTATGGCAATCAATAACAGACGTCATTCATTCCATTTGTCAATCATTGACGGAAACACGCGGGGTTTACCGAAGTTATAACACTTCGAGTGAGGGACGCAGTATTGACTGATCTCGAGTCGGTTTTCGGCGAAAATACCAGATTTTCACCGCTCATTACCTCAGCGTATGGGCATCGTAGGGACATGCGGTTTGTTTTATGTGAACAAGGTAGGACAGCTGATCAATAATACTGCAAAGAATCGTCAAAATAAAACGGGAAAAGTTTATTAATTCGACTAATACTGCAACATGGTTTCAGCATTTTACCATTGTATGCTCTCCTTCTTTATACGCTCTTGTTATATATAATGTAAATAGGGCCGTAGCTAATTAAAGCCATGCATGCGCGGCTAGCATTCTGGCACGTTGGTCGTGGGACGATCACCGCTGCTCTGCCGCTGCCGCTATACCTACCCACCCTCACCATATCACCATATCACCATATCACGGCTCTCTATATAATTCTGCTGCCATTATACACCGCAAGAGAGCTTATTGTCCGGATTATTTTATTAACAAATATGTCGATCCCAATTATTTACTTTAGTAATTGTATATGCGGCAAATCATCCAAACATCCTTAATAATGTGTGGCCAACTATTTGATGAAATGACCCCATATTTGGAATTTTATATTTACAAAAGGAGGGTATACTCATGACATTTTTTTTAATGAAAAATATGACACGCATTGCCTGCGTAATATAATAAAGGGAAGAGTAGTCTTCTCAACATCCCGATTCTCTGCAACACATATTGAAATGATGTATATTTTTCGTTGTCTTCTGTCAGTGCTAGTGTCGTGTATGAGAAACAGTTCAGGGTGCTAAACGAAACATATTTCCCATAGTTTATATAGGATACGGCGTGAATAGATATCTTTGATAATTACTCCTCGCTTCTGTTAGAATTAGAGTTTCCCAGACAATTGCGCATGTTGCACGGCCAAGATTTGGACTCGCCGGACTTGGTATGTGAAGTGTTCGCAAGTTGTTCAAGCGAACCCACGTGCTGACGAGATAGCCAGAGGCGGGATAAGTTAGTCCGGGTACAGACATATTCTCCTGGTCGGTAGTGGACGACTGAATGTCGTGAGACGTGTGAGACAACGCGGCTGAGAGATGACAGACGTGTGAGACAACGCGACTGAAATGTGTGAGACAACGCGACTGAAATGTGTGAGACAACGCGGCTGAGACGTGTGAGACAACGCGGCTGAAAGATGACAGACGTGTGAGACAACGCGACTGAGACAACGCGACTGAGACGTATGAGACAACGCGACTGAGACGTGTGAGACAACGCGACTGAGACGTATGAGACAACGCGGCTGAGACGTGTGA